GCTGAAGACATAATGCCTACAACAATCAGGGATGATCCCACATGAATAGAAAATTCGTTTATACAAGCTGCATGACACATTTTAGAGAGGGAGGGTTAGTCTGCATCTACGTGAGAAAGCTGATGGATATACTGAAGTGCTGAAATTCTGACATAGATCAAATTCTTGTAGTGGGATTAGAAAAGCATATAAAGCACTTAACTTACGAAATACTTTCTATGTGCTGAAGGAATATTGCCCAACAAGAATGTTATTTCACCATTGATTTCAGTAATATTGTTGGTGCAAGGGAGAGCTAATTGCACCCGCCCCCCCCTCTTCCCCCCCCATGGAGCATTTACACAACATGCTAACTGTGCAGTAGTTGAATAATACTGCACAGTAGCATGCAGTACTAACATGCTACCGTGCAGTATTATTCAGCTACTGCACAGTAGCATCACTAAAGAGGTGTTCACTAGTGCTACTGTGCAGTAACTCCAGTTACTGCTCATTTATTTAGTACTTGATTATACAAGTACTAAATAAATGGACAGAAACCACTGTGTGTTAGCATATCATGTAGATGTGCCCCACCCCCCGCCCCCGAGTCAGTAAAGGCTACTATATCATTTACTTACAGTGGGAGATGGGGGGTTCTGTCCCCATAACAGCTTTAAAATGTAATCTCTCCTAACAGAGAAGAATACACTTGGGTTCTGGTGAACCAGTACAAAACCAAGCCAAAGTCACACGCACTCTTTCAAAGATAGCAGCATTCACTATTCTAATTGCCACCACAGGCTATGCTAGTGGACCAGGGGCTGTTAACTTTCTGCTTGTAGGGGCCTGCCATAATGACAAAGCATCAAGCCTAGTATTGAGTTCTAAGGTTCCCTGTGTGCCATTGAGCAGCGGTTATGTCAGATTCAGTGACATGTCTGCATTTGAAAGCTATGGCAGCTCTATGGCTGGGCTGAAGTGTTTAGGAATTTCAAATAGCTTCTGACTGCTTTGCACCCAAAATAATTTTATGGCAGGAGTAAGTACAGCATGGTCCCAAACTGTATCTTCACCCTGGAGCTTTTAACTTGGGTGTAATCCTGCCATTCATTTTCTCTAGTAGCTTTCTGTATAGTACCTCAACTGCCATAGTTCATCACTGCCTTTTAATACTGAGCCCAAAACTACCAGTTCTCTGCTTAATTTTCAGATCATGCAATTTTAATGCACAATGTAAACCAATACAAGTAACTCTCAAGTTTACAGTATTGATAGTGATGGGTTTTCAATACCGGTATCAACAGGTATTAAAAGGTCAAACTTTTAAATGCAAGAATTTTTCAGCATCAAAATTTCCATGGATATTAAGAGTCATGCAACCATATTGCACAAGCTGTGCTGTTACTTTCCATGCGTCTCTGCTTTGTTTTGTATAGTTTCTCTAGATACCTGTAATTGCAAGATGTATTTCAGCCCTATTCAAACTGTTAGTAATGATTTTGCATCTCTTAGCTGCTTGCTGTCTATGTTTGTCCACTAGATGGAGATTTTCCTATAATGCGTTAAGGCTGTTGGTAAGAATAAAGTAAAAACCTAAGACACAGCTGACAAAGAATAGCTTAAATCACGCAATATGACTTGTAATTATCAACACCAAGACTATGTGCAATGTGTCATATCTGAAGTATTGAATCACTTGTCCCAAAAATGACAGGTAAACAACCAGAAGTTCTCCTTTTTCTTCCTAGACTAATCTTGATAAATCAAGTAATATCCATGCAGCATTTCAAGCACTTAACTTTGAAATCAACAAACCCACTAAAAATTACCTGCTTAGAAGTGTCAACCAGTTATATGGAGAAAAATCATCACCTTTCAATACAGTAAGTACAGGATCTGTTTGAACTAATAGAGACCATTTAATTTTTATGATAAGTACTGCTTGTATTGTATGTTGACAGTCTAATAAATATGCTAGTTTCAGCTGCAGATTATTTTGTTCTTTTAATATTTACTTCCTACTGACTTTTTGTGGATATTTATATCAAGTTTACAGACTGTTTAGGGTCTGTACAGTATCTCGGTTCACTTGTTTCTTTGAGCATAGCAGAATCTGTCATAATTTGAATTATTTTCTTTGTTTGGCGGTAGTTGGCCCATATGTATGGTAAAATATTATATATGTAAGACCTTTATCTATCTTGCCTCACAGGAATATTTACAGTCAGTCAAGAAATATTACAACACAGAGCCACAAGCTGTAAACTTTGTGGAAGTTGCAGAAGAAGTCAGAAGAGAAATCAATGCCCAAGTTGAATACCAGACTGAAGGTGAGCCCAAGGACATTCTTTTACACATATTACAAAGAGGAACACAGGTATTCTTCCATCTTCAGTATTTGTGTCTGGAGAGAGAAAAAACACACGTTTTGTGACATTCTTCACTAGAATCAAGTTACAAAATGGTTGTCGTCTGTTTGTCAGAACAAAGTTCTTTCTGTTACATCACAAGAGGGGGAAAAATAGGATGACCATTAACCTCCAGTCACACTAATATGTATGATAGCAGTTTGAGCTTTCTGTTCCTGAAGACCATTACCACAATGGTGGGTATAAACTTACATAGCCAAGTATGCCTCAGAATGGTGTGTTACCAGAGACGCCCATTACTTTGGGGTGTGCTCATTTATTAGGGATATGTTTCTAGGGTCTTTGTAATTCTATCAGTGTGCTGCTTGTGTACTTGTGTTTTTATACGGAGCTGTATCTCTCCCTTCTGTATGTCCTCACCCCCCAGTGGGGCTATCTTGCAGGACTCAGTTTCAATGGGGCTGGGTTCCTCTAGTCACCAAATCAGTCATACACACAAAACACACAGATTAACGTGCCTGACCCAGCCAGGTTGATCAGCATGGATAGGTTGACACCCTCATATGCCAAGAATCAGTTCATCAGAGCAACAATAAACTGCAGTCAGACACAAGCACACAGGTAAACAGAATACCTCTGAATCTGACTGGGTGTCCAGCTGACACCCTCGTGGGCCAAAATTCAGTTCATAAGGGCACGACTGAGCCAAACTGGGTCAGCCTGTACAAGCTGATCCCCTTATGTATTTTAAACTCAGCACGTCCCAATGTTTAGCCTAGACATTATAGCCATAGACAATATATTCTCCCAGTGTCTATATATAGCCAAAACAGGGGGGAAAAACCCTATATAAATACACATCTCATTATTTCCTGTAGGCAAAATCCAGAATCTGTTGCCTGAGGATTCTGTCGATTCACTCACCAGGCTGGTCCTGATAAATGCACTTTACTTCAAAGGAAGCTGGGCAAAGAAATTCAAGGATGGTGTTACAAGAAAACAACCTTTCAGAATAAACAAGGTATGGGCATACCCTGCGAAATACCCTGCTGTAAAGGGGGGGGGGGGGGGGGGGGGGCAGGGAATAAGCCATTTTACTCCTTTCAAGGTTGACAGCTCTAGATATATGTTAAATTATCACAGTGTAGAAATTATTTAAGCAGTCCCTTCTACAGCTCCAAAAAAACAAAACAAAAAAAACCCCAACTGTATCACATTGTTAGCTTGCAAGAGCCAGGATGTGAAAGACACAGAAACCAGCAATTAACAGATGTGAAATTTACAGTAGTAATCTATTCTCAGTGTCCAAGATGTAAACAACCTGATAAACAGTACAATTAAAAATTAGTTCTAGATATTTTCACTTTTTAGCCTTTAAGTCATTATAAATAACATAGGCAAATATATATTATTTTTAACCTGATCCTTTAAAATGTCAGTTACCACACATGTAATGCTTGTTGTTTTGCTTGCTGCAGACTACAACAAAGCCAGTGCAGATGATGTACCAGAGAGGGAAATTTAACTGGAATTACATACAATCAGTGCATACCCATGTCCTTGAACTTCCGTATGTCAACTGTGATCTCAGCATGTTCATTCTGCTACCAAAAGACATCAATGACGACACTACTGGCCTACAAATGGTAAAGAACATAAGATCCTGATCACAGTAAAAAGATTTATTTTTATAAAAAAAATAAATATTATCTCCTCCATCAGGGCTGTCCAGCTTCTAAATCCCTGGGGGTCACATGTTGCATGGGCCATAGCAGCACACCATGCAGATGCTCCTTCCTGCCACTCCACGTGGTAGTACAGGCACTCCCCTCCCCGGTGATGCCTGTACATGGGCCCAATCCCCTCTTTCCCCACCCCTGGCTCAGACTAACCTTTAGTGCAGGACTCACTCAAGGGCAGGAAGCAGCAGATGGAGCAGGGAGGGGTAGCCTACAGACTTTGGCTGGTGTTGCAGCAGAGCGATGTGGGGGCAGGGGGGGAAATGGCAGCTGGGTGATAGCCCAGGCACCTCAATGCAACCCCTTGTGAATTACACACAGCTTGCAGACTGCCATTTGGACAGCCCTGCCATAAATGTTCAAACAGCTATAGTCTGATGCTAAGTTGAACTGTTTTCTTATATTCAGAATGTGCAAACTGAACTGGTTCAGGAACAAATGAGGGTAGGCCCCAAAACGTTATGTAATTTGCAGCAAACCTGAAGCTTTTCCAGCTGTGGCTAGATTTCCATAAAACTTGTGTCTGCTTTTCATGGTATCATCCAGTCCTAGAAGCTCCAGACTCTTGCCTGTTCAAAACTAGGGAGTACTAGAAACCTTGGCAGAAAGCCAGGATCTACTGAAGTTTCTAATCCAATCCAGATAGATGTGACCTAGGTGAGTTTCAAACCTAGGCCAGGTCCGTACTACACAGTGTTGCTAGCAGAATGCAAGTAGTTGGTAGCTTCTACACTTATAGCAACTATGCAGAGGCAGAACCTCTTTCTTTCAGGACAGTAGTATCAGCTCTGTAACAGAAGGCTTTTGCTACCACCCATGCCTATGCTTTCTGCCAGTTTCTGTGACTCCCTACAGCAGCTTGTACCTCCACTAAGCAAGGCACACCCTGCTGGCACAGCTATAGACATGCTGAACAATACCATTGGCAAAATTTCTGTAGAATTTGAGAAAGCACTAATACTAGGTTTTTCATTGTGTGATTTTCCTTTTATTAACTTACTGTAGCTTGAAAGAGACTTGACTTATGAGAAGTTAGCTGAATGGACCAGCCCCAAAATGATGGAAGAAACTGAAGTGGAAATGTTTCTGCCCAGGTTCAAGATGGAAGAGGGATATAATCTCAAATCCACTTTGAGCAGCATGGGGATGCCAAATGCCTTCAGCATGGGCAAAGCCGACTTCACAGGGATGTCAGAAAGAAATGAGCTGGTTTTGTCACAAGTTTTTCACAAGTGCTTTGTAGAGATCAATGAAGAAGGCACTGAAGCAGCAGCTGCCACTTCAGCTGCCATGATGGCACGAAGCCTTATGTCTACTGTTCAGTTTGTTGCAGATCACCCTTTTCTCTTCTTCATCAGGCATAATAACACCAAGAGCATCCTTTTCTTTGGGAGGTTCTGCTCTCCCTAGAAACTCAGCTACCCGTTATTAAACAGGATCTTACAGCAAAGTAGCTTAAATAAATTAATCTCGAGGTTCCAAATACTTTGAGTAATTTTTCTTCATTTTCCTGTACCTTTGGCCAATCTCTTCTGGGCTTGGGGAAGAGCCAGTAGTGCAATAGACCAGGAAGTCTAATCTCCTATACATACGGTTAAAGGACCAGATCATGGTGGTGGTAGGCTATCACTTAAGTGCTCGGTAGAAATGTATAGATTCCTTTCTACAAAAAACCACCAGTTGCACTCTTTCTAGTGCAGTTGTAAAGTAGAAAAAAACCCAAATCTGATACAAGGAACTGCGTCTGAAGAATAAAATTAAATGTCTGTAATGGAATACAAAGAAAGCATTCACATGTTGGGATAGATCCTTCAGCTGAGGCAAATTGAAACATTTCCCTGGAAGCCAATGGAATTATCCTAGATGAGGCTCTGATCCACAGTCTTACTGTCTGAGCTATCCATGTATGCCATTTCAAAATCTACATATACATACTGTAGGATCAGATATAAAATGCAGCCTGCTTGAAGATATTCTGTTTGCCCTGCTTATATCTGTCATTCACACTAATTGAATGCCTATGGCACAGTGGAATTTCCCGGCACAGCGAAAAAGCCCGCCAAGTCCACCGGCCGCATCGTTCAAACGAGCGCCACCCATTGGCCGGTTACAAATTATTCCTACTTGGCAACTAGCAATTGGCTTGCTATCCATATAAAGATCAAAGCAGTTTCCGCCCAAGTCGGAGAACTCTGGACACAACCTGGAGTAAACTTGGCAGACTGATCATCCACCAACGACTCCCCGTCACCGACCTGCCCGACGTACCCCCTTCCTTGTGCACTCGGTGATTCATTTATGGAACGTCCCGTCTCGCTTCAAGGGCTCTTGCTACGTTTCTCTCGCTACGTTTGTAACTCATTTGTAACTGCAATTAAGCCAGTTCTTCCTACGCTGCACACATCAGTAGCATAAGTAAACAACCTTGTTGCAACCAATACGCATCCGTGCCTACTTCCACTCCACGCGTCGAAGTACCCACCTAACATTCTGGGTTCCCGGCAAGGGCCCCAGCAATCACCCGGCCACCACAATATCATGTCAATGGACACAAGCTGTGCAGGAAACATTTGAGAGACAAGAGAAATAAAAGGGATTGTTGTAAGAAAATGCCATCTATAATAATTTAACATTCAATCAACAGCATGTTTTAGAGCAAAGTATTGGAGAATTTGCCTATAATTTTCTATCACAGATGTCAAAGATATGGCTCATGGGCTGAATGCAGACCACAGAGCCCCATCACTAAGCCCCTAGTGCTGCCCCTGGGTGCCATGTGGAACACATGCTGGGGGCACAGAATGCGTACCACACATGGCACCTCTTCTGACTAGTCCTGGGCACATGCCACTCATTCCAGAGTGCACCATTGTCCTGGACCAGGTGGGGAGGCAACATGTGTGGCAATGGATGCTGCATGTAGCACAGTCTGGCCAGACCAAGCACCACTTGTCACATATGGCATCTTCTCCTGGCCAGTTTGGGACCTTTACTGCATGTGACACCCACCCTGACTGGACTGCGCTGCCTGCAGTACCTATTCCAACCACTCCAGGATCTGCACCACATGTCTTGGCCAGTATGGAATACATGCTGCACCCTGTGCCCACTCCAACTGCTCCAGGTCCCATGCTGCAGTGCAGCTCTCAGACCAGCTGGAGCAGGTGCTGTATGCAATGCATGTCTTGGGACAGTGGGAATAGATGCCATGTGCTGTGGATCCAGCATGAAGGGGTAAGGGAGGTCTGTGGGCCTGATCCAGTCCATGTACTAGCCCTGTGCCATGCATCTGGCCCACAGGGCCTCATGAATTTATCACCCTGCATCTAGTGCTATGTCTATTTAGAACCCTCATCTTCACAAATATGGCTGGACTGAAACATATCATTTGAGCCAGGAGTTAAACACTTAAAACAGAGCTTTCTGGGCAGTTTTGTAGCTTTGGGAGATGCTATGAATTCAAAGAATTTGAAGGAGATTATAAACAGCAGGGACACCAAGTAACCTGCAGATATATGTTCAAAATATCACCATCTGTCAGCATGCACTTCAGAAGCTCAGACTTCTGAGAAGCTCAGTTTCCTAGAGTGGGCCACACACCTGTTCTTATCTTTTTCTCCTTGGTGAGTAAACATGCACATATCTGCCAGGCTTCGTTTAGGATCCCAGTCGGCAAATAGCAAGTGTGAAATATCATAAAATAGACAAAACCAAACACATTCCCTCTTAAATATGATCTGGTTCAGTATGCCATGATAAAACTGTATGCTAAGTGTAATTCACAGTGGTCCCTATCCTGCTGTATGTCCACAAAGACAGAGGCACCCTCAGGAAAACTACTCTTTCATACAGCTGATAGGCTTAGATTTTCAAAATACAAGGTTAGCGTATGTAGCATCGTGTCACAGGGCACTATCTCCAGGGGTGGCTGTAAAGCCCCGGGAGGCCAAAAAGAGTTCTGTACCCTGCTCTATGGGCAATCTGTCCTGCTCTCACCCACCACGCCTTGATGTTAATTGTTATAAATAATGAGGGAGGCTGCTCTGGTCTTATCATAATAAAGATTTGTGGTCAAGACCTCATGAGCTGTTTCATGGATCCATTCCATCCTTACACTACGCCCCAAGCCTCACAGGTATCGTCCTCATGGATGTTTTCTCTTACTGAACACAGCCCTTCTCTGGGCCCTCAGACCCCCTCCCTCGGCCCCCGGCTTTGCTCAACTTCACTCTGGGTTGCTTGACCCTTTGGCCTCCCATCTGGCCCCTCAGTCTCTTGTACAACACTGCCCTGGGCTGCTAGGCCGCTCAGTCTCTCTGCAATCCCTCTCTGGAGTGCCAGGCCCCCTGTGGTCTCTTCCTCAAGCCTTCTGGTCCCCCAGTTTTCCCCAGCAGCTCTCTAGTTCCCTGGCCCCTTGCAATCTCGCTCTTT